ATATTTTATTATTTTTATTTTATCATTATTTATTTTATTTTTATGTGTATGAGTGTTATGCCTGCATGTAGGTAAGTGCACCCGTGTCATACAATGCCTGCGGAGGACAGAAGAGGCTGTCGGATCACCTGGAAATGGAGTTGCAGACAGTTGTTAGCTGCCATATGGGTGCTGGGATTCGAACCTGGGTCTTCTACAAGAACAGTCAGTGTTCTTAACTGCTAAGCCATCTCTCCAGCCCCCCCAAAAGTATTTATTTTTATTTTATGTATGTGTTTTGTCTACATGTAGTTAAGTGCAAATGTGTGCAATGTCCACTGAGGCCAGAAGAGGGTGTCATATCCCCAGGAACTGGAGTTATGGATGGTTGTTAGCTATCATGTGGGTGCTGGGAATTGAACCCAGGTCCTCTGCAAGCACAGCCAGTGCCCTTAAACCCCTGAACTATCTCCCCAGCCCCCCTTTTAAAAAAATATTTTATTTATTATTTTTATTTTACATGTATGCATGTATTGCTGGCATGGAGGTAAGTACACCCATGTCATCCAATGCCTACAGAGGACAGAAGAGGCTGTCGGATCCCCTGGAACTGGAGTTACAGAGAGTTATTAGCTGCCATGTGGGTACTGGGATTGAACCTCAGTCTCTGTAAGAAGGGCCAGTGTTCTTAACTGCTGAGCCATCTCTCTACCCCCCCCCCTTTGTTGTTTCTTTAAGACAAAGTCTTAATGCAGCATAGGCTGGTCTCAAACTCTAAGTAGCTGAAGCTGGCTTTGAACTCCTGATTCTCTTTCCTCAAACTCAGCATTCATTCTGCCCCCTCAGTTCCTCTCACATCTTAGCAATGACAACATTCTTTCAACTGATGAGGTTACAAACCTTAAAAATCCTTGACTTTCCTTACATTCAGTATACCAATTTGGTTGACTAACTCTACTTTGAAAATATAAAAGCCAGCCATCAAATGCTATTCTTCCTTCTTCAGTTAACCCGTGGTCCTGGCAACCTGCACCCTGCCTATCCAAACTCTACTCATCTTTAGCCTCTTCCAGACAGTGCCCACAGCTGTCCTGTTAAAACACTGCAGTCTCCTGTGATTACAGCCCTGATGGCCCTTCAATCTCACTCAAAGTGAAAGCCACACTCCCAACTCAGCCTCTCTGCTGTGGCCCATCACTACCCAGGGATGTTCTCTGTCACTCTTGCTTTGTTCACACACTATGTCACACAAATGCCTTCCTGTTCAAACCACAGACACACTCCCCATCTCAGGCTCTTCTCTCAGTGTTCCAGCCGTGCTTCTCCCTGTTTTCCCGTATGGCTCACACTTCCGCTGTGGTGATTTCATTTCAAACTGAAGCCAAGCCCAGGCTGACTGACCGCCCCCACAACTCCCAGCCCCACCAAGCCCTGACTTACCCACAACTCCTAGCCCCACCCTGCACTAGTCTTCTCTATAGCACATACTGTAGCTGACAGGCCATATACTTTACTCATTTCCTCAATGACCCTGCCTGGTATGGGTACTACTGCACTGTAAGCTCCATGAGGCTGATTTTTGCCTGTTTTGGTCAATAGTGTCAGCCCAGCATCTGATAAAGTACTTAATACAACAAAGTAAACACTCAAGAAGTGTTCAGCAGAATAAATTCAATAGATAACTAATTATTTCAGGTATGCTAATGCATGTCTTCCAGGTCTGAGAACACACAAAAACATGTTAAGAGAGGAAGCTGTGTGTAATAAACTCATCTCTCACACTATACATCTGTTCACATTTGATAACAAAGGTTTCCTCTTAGTAGTTTCCACTCAAGCCCTATGTCATGTCATATGACTTGACACATGAGTTAGTGTCCAATAGCCAAAACTATAGTTTCTTTGGACCTTTACAAACCATGCATCTCCTACAGGGAAAACCTCTACTAACACTGCACCCACTAGTCAAAATGCCACTCAGAACAGCAGGGAAATCAGTGCTCAGAAGCAGCAGGCACCCGAAGCCTGCGTACCTTCAGGAATTCCGAGATGCAGTCTGTTAACTGCTTGTGGCCTTGGATGTTTAACTCCAGTTCATAGAACTTCGATAACAGCTTAGACTCTCGGCCACACTGATTGCAGCTACAATAAAAATGCAATAAACTAAAATCAGAGTGAGAAAAGCAATCAAGTATCAGTTGCACACATCCCAGACAGATGGCAGAGTGTTTATAGCCTTAAATATGCTCTGTCACAAAAATTTTTTATACTACATAAACTGCAGGTTAAACAAAAGCACAAAATGACTGGAGAAGTCACCTACTTAACGACTAGGAAATTTCAAAGGGGAACTGGGCATTACTTAGTTTTCTAGTCAGTTCCAACCTCACTCTTTCAACCTACACTATAAAGCCATCAAGAAAGAGCTCAGTGAGACAGTTCCAACACCTGGATGTACTCAACTGCAATTAACAGGGTGGCTGTTTACATGTTCCCATGGAAATGGATTGCTATAAATATTTCAGGTCCCATGATAACCCACCATAGCAATAACCTGGAACTGAACTGAAAATCATCAACACAAGCAGCTGTCTTACATTAAACTATCCCACGGAAGGCTAAAGACTTACACAGTCACATAAGCGTATTCCCCACAGAACTGCTGCTGCACAATGTTCCTCACATCTGGATTTTTTTGTTTCGACAAAGTATCTTCCAACAGAGACATGAAGAGCTTTGAAAATTCTTGGGCATCCTACAAGTTTGGATTAATGAAAAGAAAAATTGTATTGTCCTTGTCACCGACCTTACCACAAGCACTAAAAAATTTCCCAGAAACTACCTGTGCTTTCTACTTGGCTCAAGGACTACAGAGCTACAGGAAGTTTATGCCTATGAATGAATTTTAAGAAATATAGTCCATCTTGCCGGGAGTGGTGGCGCACGCCTTTAATCCCAGCACTGGCAGGCAGAGGCAGGCGGATCTCTTTGAGTTTGAGGCTAACCTGGTCTACGTAAGAGTTCCAGGTCAGTTAGAGCTACAGGGAGACCCTGTCTCAAAAAGACCAAATTAAAAAAATAATAAATAAAAAAGTTCATCTCAAACAAACAGTCACGCATAACATGGAGCATCCTGGGGAGTAAGGTGCTAATGAAGTAGATTAAAATTTTGGAAGCACCCTGTCTTGTCTTCCCTTATATTCTCAGGAGCACTTGTGCACCTGAAGATGAGAGAGGAAGATGAAGCTGTTCTTACCTGTTGCTGCCCAGTGTCCAAGCCCAAGGCTTTAACAAAACCCGAGGGATCGATGTATCGTCTATTACTGTTTTGCAATAAAGCAAACAAGTACTGCAGATGTTCACAGATTGTCTGAGGCTCGTAATCTATTGAAAGAAAAGTACAAGTTTGTTTTTAAAAAAGTTGTGACTTTCTTCTTTTAATATTTTATTATTATTTTATGTGTACACTGCCTGCATTTTTTAAAGATTCTTGTACTGAGCTTTTATAACTTTGCATGCTTTTGTATGGTTTTGTTCTTTTTGAGACAAGGTCTCCCTGTAGCCCCAGATGGCCTGGAACTCACTATGTAGACCAGGCTGGCCTCGAACTCAGAGATACACCAGCCTCTGCCTCCCACGTGCTGGGATCAAAGGTGTGGACCACCACACCTGGCTTGCCTGCATTAAGGTGTCATGCAATGTGCACTGAGATCAGAAGAGGGCTCCAGATCCCCTGGAACTGGAGTTCTGGACAGTTGCTAGCTGCCATGTGGGTGCTGAGAATCAAACTTGGGCCTTCTTCAAGAGCAGCAAGTGCTCTTAAGCTGAGCCATCTCTCCAGCCCCTTTTTGTTTTCTTTTACATTCCTATGTCTCAGGGGCTGGAGAAATGGCTCAGAGGATAAGTGCATAGGCTTGTCAGGCATGGTGGCACACACCTTTAATTCCAGCACTTGGGAGACAAAGGCAGGTGGATCTCTGTGAGATTGAGGCCAGCCTCAACATGTAGCAAACTCCAGGCCAGTGGTGCACCACCATGCCCAGCTTTGTTTGTTTGTTTGTGTGTTTGTGTGTGTATGTATGTATGTATGTATGTATGTATTTATGAGTGTTTTGCCTGCATGTATATAAGTGCACCTCAGTGGCCAGAAGAGGCCATCCAATTCCCTGGAACTTGAGTTACAAAAAGGTTGTGGAATGTGAGTTACAAAAGGCTGATAGCCCAGGGCATGGTGGTACATGCCTCTAGTCCCAGCATTCGGGAGGCATAAGCAGGGGGATCCCTCTGAGTTCCAGGCCAGCCTGGTCTACATAGTGAGTTCCAGGCCAGCTGGAGCTTCAGGAAAACCCTGTGTCAAAAAGACCGCCGCCCCCCCAAAGGTTGTCAGCCTCCATGCTGGAAACCTGGATCCTCTGCAAAAGCAGCTAGTGCGCTTAATTACCTTAATTACCGAGCCACCTCTCCAGCCATATTTTAAGTTTTAAAGAGTAGAGAGGATATGCTAATAGGAAGACAGGAAGCCTGGATCAAGGGGACACAAAGACATATGGAATCTTCTATGCCATTTTAAAAAATACAGATATAGGGAGGCAGAGGCAGGTAGATCTCTGCGAGTTCGAGGCCAACCTGGTCTCCATAGCGAATCCAGGCCAGGTAGGGCTATAGGGAGACCCTGTCTCAAAAAGACCAAAAAAACAAAAAAAATTCCGGTTATAGCCAGGTGTGGTGGCACATGACTTTAGTCCTAGCACTTGTGAGGCAGAGGCAGGCTGATGTCTGGGAGTTCAAGGCCACCTTTATCTACATAGTGAGTTCCAGGCCGGCTGGGGCTACAGGGAGACTCTGTCTCAAAAAGGCTTAAAAAAAAACATATATATATATATATATATGAGAGAGATATAACTTTTTTTCAGATTTTATCTTAATGTATTATGAGTGTTTTGCTTGTACATAAGTACATCATGTGCATGCCTGGGACACGTAGAGGGCAGAAGGCAGCATCAGATTCCCTGCAACTACGTTTTCAGAAGACTGCAAACTACCATGTGGGTACTGGGAACTGATCCTAGGTCTTCTACAAGAACGGCCACTGCTCTTACCCACTGAGCATCTCTCCAGCTCCAAGATCTTAAAGGCTATGCAAGTACATCTGCATTTACTCCAACTCCTTTACAACTTGGAATGCTCTATGCAGGTTAGTATCTCTAATTTGAAAACCTGACTGAAATCCTTGCATTTTGGAGTTTCAGATTAGAGATGGTCAATCAGTTAAGTCTACGTAAATACTCCAAAATTCCAGTTTACACATGGCTCAGTAGGTAAAGGTGCTTGCCACCAAGCCTGAGTTCCAATCACTGAGAACCACATGGTGGAAAGCGGAAGTTGTCACCTTTACCTGACGTCCAAAGGCATTCTCTCTGGCGTGTGCATGCTCACGAACACAAATGTAATTAAAATTTGGGCAGTGGGGGACACGCGCTAAAATCTGAAACACATTTGGGTAGGGAACAGCAGCACATGCCTGTAATACTAGCACATCAGAGGCGGAGGAAGGAGGAAATGTCACTAGGTTGAGGACAGTCTGACAACAGAGCAAGACGCTGTCTCAAAGAGAGCTTCCCACCCCCCCCAAAAAGAACCATAAAAGAGGAATGGAGGGAATGTTGTCGAGGTGGCTCAGCAGGTAAAGGTACCTGCTCCCAAGCCTGACAAGCCAAGCTCTAGTTTGATCTCCTGAATCTACATGGTGGAAGGTGAAAACCACCTCCATAAACTGCCCTCCGATTTTCACATGTTCACTGTGGCATGTACACCCACACATACACATACAAATAAACACAACTTTAAAAAGCACATGTAGCCCTAAGCATTTCAAATAAAGACCATTCACTTTACCTTCAATAAAATCTTAGGTAACTCAAACTCTGCTTGCTCTCTACGAGCATCTGTGCACTGTGTGGGGACACAGACCACAGAGACCATGTGGAGGCTGGTCAATTTTCACCCTGCACCTTGTCTTGAGGCAGCGTCTCTTACAGTTTCTGCTACTGAACTGTGTATCACAGGATAGCTTGCCTGCCAACTTCCAGGAGATTCCTGTCTCTACATCCTGTTTCACCACTGGCATGCTAGGATCTCAGGTGTAGGCTACTGCATACTGTACCATTAACTCTAGAATCAGGGGACACAGCTCTGTGGCAGAGAACTAGTCTAGCAAGCTTGAGTCTATAGGCTTAATCTACAATACCAACCCCCCACAAAGGTACTCTTGTCAGAAAATATGACAATAGCATTAGTGGCACTGGGCAAGGTGGCACACAGGAGGTAGAGGCAGGCAGATCACTGTGAGTTCCAGGCCAGCCTGGTCTATTAGTGAGACCCTTTCTCAAAAAAACATACACTGTAGTGTTTCACATCTACAATATTAGCACTCAGGAGACTGAGGCAAGAGAATTGCTAGTAGTCTGAGGACAGTCTAGGCTACATAGTTCCAGACCAGACTACAGAATAAGATAATGTCTTTAAAAAAAAAAGGCTGGTCAGGCATGGTGGCACACACCTTTAGTCCCAGCACTCAGGAGGCAGAGGCAGGTGGATCCCTGAGTTCAAGGCCAGCCTGTCTACATAGCAAGTTCTAGGCCAGCTGGAGCTACAGGGAGACCCTGTCTCAAAAAGATATAATTAAAATAAAATTAAATAAGGTTGGGCATGGTGGTGCATACCTTTAGCCCAAGCACTTGGGAAGTAGAGGCAGGCAGATCTCTGTGAGATTGGGGCCAGCCTGGACTCCATATAGAGCTCCAGTCCAGTCAAAGCTACACAGGAAGACCTTGTCTCAAAAATAAATAGTCTGGCGGGGAATGGTAGCTCTTGCCTTTAATCTCAGCATTCAAGAAGCAAAGGTAGGCTGATCTCTGTGAGATCTAGGCCAGCCTGGTCTACATAGTGAGTTCCAGGTCAGCTGGGCCTGCAGGAGACCCTGTCTCAAAAAGACAAAATATAAAGAAAAATGATCCATTTCAAAGTACTTTTGCAGACACTATCACTTTAAATAATTAATATACTACTAATCTATATGTAAATAATCAAATATAGGAATAAAGCTTTGAGAAAACAAATTATCAATTTTAAACTTTTTTGTAGACAAGGTCCCACCAGGATGCCCTGGATGGACTGGAATTTGCAATGTAGATCACACTCGCCTCAAACTCCACCTGCCTCTACCTCCTGAGTACTGGGATTAAAGGCATGGACTATGACACCTAGAAAAAAAACCAAATTTTTTATTGGGGGAGGGGGTGTTCGTTTGTTTATTTACTGGCAGGGGTCTCATGCATTGATGGCCTCAAACTGTTCAGGTAGCTGGAAGCTGACCTGGGAGTTTCACTAGGAAAAAACTCTAAAAAAGACTGAGGGGGCCAGGCGTGTAGCGCACACCTTTAGCCCAGCACTTGGGAGGCAGAGGTAGGCGTATCTCTGTGAGTTAAAGGCCAGCCTGGTGTACATAATGATTTCTAGGCCAGCTGGGGCTTCACAGAGACCCTGTCTGAAAAAAGACCCCCCCCCAAAAAAAAAGATTTGTGGTATGTGTCTCTGTGTCTATGAAATATTTGAATCCTGAGTATGTTTATAAACCCTAGACCACACTTAGCATAGAATAAGCACCTCTGCTTTCTCCTCTGTGGTGTGTTCTAAGTAATACAGCTGGCAATACACTCAGAAGGACCCCGTCCCAGAACAGCCTCCCCCTCAACACACACACACACTGACCTTTTTCTCTGTGGACCCCATCTCCCACTGGGCAGTCTCCACAGGTGCTGGGGCACAGGTACAGTGCCCGCCGAAGCTCCAAATTGAGAAACCACACCTGGAGGAATGTGTTGACGTAACAAGTGGCTCCCAGGTTAGTCAGGCCTACAAACGAGTTCTAAACGAAGAGTTACAGTCATAAAATTAACTTTCTGTTAAACTCAGGATTTATAGAGAATTATTTTTAAATTTATAGGTTAAAGGGGTTTTTTTTTTTGGTCTTTTTGAGACAGGGTCTCCCTGTAGACCTAGCTGACCTGGAACTCACTATGTAGACCAGGCTGGCCTTGAACTCACAGAAATCCGCCTGCCTCTGCCTCCCAAGTGCTGGGATTAAAGGCGTGCGCCACCACATCCCGCTAGGTTAAGGTTTTTTAAAGATTAAGTCTTCCTTTCTTATATATGTATATGAGTGTTCTGCCTACATGTAAGTTCACCAATGTTATGCAATATCTACAGAGGCCAAAATTAGGGACTCAGATCCCCTGAAACTAGTTATCGACAGATAGCCGTGAGTCACTGTGTGGGTGCTGGGAACCAAAACTGGGTCCTCTGTAAGAGCAGCCAGTACTCTTAACAGCTGAGCCATGTCTTCAGCCCCAATTTTTATTTATTAATTATGTGTCTATGTATGGTTCTGCGCAGAGCCTGCAGAGTCCAGGAAAGGATGTCAGATCCTGTGGAGCAAGTTACAGGTGGTTGTGAGCCACACGATGTGAGTGCTGGGAACTGAATCAGGGTTCTCTGATTCAGAAGGAGTAAAGTACTCTTAACCAGTGTGTGCCTCTCCAGACCCCTTCTTTCTCTGGGCCCACCCCCACCCCCAAAGACAGGTCAAACTTCTTTTTTTTTGGTCTTTTTGAGACAGGGTCTCCCTGTAGCTCCAGCTGACTTGGAACTCACTGTGTAGACCAGGCTGGCCTCAAACTCACAAAGATCCGCCTGCCTCTGCCTCCCAAGTGCTGGGATTAAAGGCGTGTACCACCACGCCCTGGCTAGGTCAAACATTTTTAAGACTGTCCCAAATGGCTTGACATAGCCACCTTAAGCATTTCTTAGCTGGGATAGAATAGAATTTTCTTTGAAGCCCTGAGTTGACCACAGAGTAAAAAAGACTGACATCTCCAGCCTTAACTTAAATCTAAAATTAGAACAGATGATTCTAGAAAAGAACAGTTTGGAGCATGTGCACACAGCCTTCTGATGTGCTGCATTCCTAACAGCCAGCACTTAGTGGAGCAACAAAGTAAAAAAATCCAGAACAGACTCTTTGGAGGTAGAGGAAAGAAGTTCCAGATTCGACCTTAAAGCAATTACTCCTTTAAGAAAATATCAGGGGCTGGAGAGATGGCTCAGCGGTTAAGAACACTGCCTGCTCTTGCAGAGGGCCCCGGGTTCTATTCCCAGCACCCACACGGCGGCTACGAACCATCCGTAACTCCAGTTCCAGGGGAATCCGAAGCCCTCTTCTGACCTCCACGGCACTGCACAACACGGGTGCACTCACATACATGCAGGCAATACGCTCATACACATCAAATAATAAATAAAATATAAAAAGAAAAATATCAGTAAACAACATGGTTGACTGGTGCACAGTGGGTTTAAGAAGTATTAATGTGTGGGGTTTTTTTTGTTGTTGTTGTTTTGTCTTTTTGAAGCAAGGTCTCCCTGTGGCCCTAGCTGTCCTGGAACTCACTATGTAGACCAGGCTGGCCTTGAACTCACAAAGATCTGCCTGCCTCTGCCTTCCAAGTGCTTAGATTAAAGGCGTGTGCCACCATACCCAGCTAATGTGTTTTTTTTTAAAAAGTAAAACTTTCTGGGCTGGAGAGAGAGCTCAGCAGCTAAGAGCACTGACTGCTCTGGCAGAAGACCTGGGTTTGATTCCCAGCACCCACATGGCGGCTATGAACCATCCTTAACTCCAGTTCCAGGGGAATCTGAAGCTCTCTTCTGACCTCTGCAGCATTGCATGACACGTGTGCACTCACATACATGCAGGCAATACTCTCATTCAGATAAAATAAAAATTTTTTAAAAATATTTTAAAGTAAAACTCATTATGTATATTCATGTAATAATAATAATACTTAAGACAAAAGCATCAGAAAGCATATTCATGGGAATTTGTCACTTAGATTATCATCTGCCTTGAAGACATTTTAAGTTCAAAATAAAAAAGCAACATAGGGGGCTGGAGAGATGGCTCAGTGTTTAAGAACACTGGTTGTTCTTGCAGAAGACCCAGGTTCGAATCCCAGCACCTACATGGCAACAAACAACTGTCAGTAACTCCAGTCCCAGGGGATCCGACAGCCTCTTCTGCCCTCCAAGGGCACTGCGTGACACAGGTGCACTTACCTACATGCAGGCAATACACACATACGTACAAAATAAAAATAATAAATAAAATTTTTAAAAAGCAACATTTAGGACTATTGGTTAAGGACTTACTGGACTACATAATTATCTGTTTCAAAGCACAATGTTAGGACTGGAGCAACGCCTTAGTGGCTAAGAGCACTGGCTGCTCTTGGAGAGAATCTGGGATCAATTCTCAACACCCACATCGCTATCCATAACTCCAGTTCCAGGGGATCTGACGCCCTCTTCTGACCTCAGTGGGCACTGCATGACATGGGTGCACTTATATACATGCAGACAATACATTCATATACATATGAAATAAAACAGCCAGGCGTATAGTTCCAGCACTTGGGAGGCAGAGGCAGGTAGATCTCTGTGAGTTTAAGGCCAGCTGGTCTACATGGTGAGTTCCAGCTGAAACAGGGGAGACCCTGTTTCAAAAAGACCAAAATAAGCCAGGCGTGGTGGTGCACCCCTGTAGTCCCAACACTTGGGAGGCAGAGGCAGGCCTCTGCCTTTGTGAGTTCAAGGCCAGCCTGGTCTACATAGTGAGTTCCAGGACAGCTGGGGCTACAGGGAGACCCTGCTTCAAAAAGACCAAAAAGAAAAAAAAAAAAAAGACAAAAATAAATAATTAATATAAAATGTACAATGTTGGGGACTGGGGATGTAGCTCAGCACGAGAGCTGTCCTAGCATGTGCAAGGCCCTGGTTTGATCCTCAGCACAACACAAAATAGAAGTTTTATACAATTACAATGTGGCTAGTAGTATGACCTTACTAGACTCATTTTTTTTTTTAAAAAAAGGAGGGGCTGGAGAGAAATGGCTCAGTGTTCAGAGCACTGATTGTTCTTGCAGAAGGCCAGGGTTTGATTCCCAGTACCCACGTGGTGGCTAACAGCCATCTATAACGCCAATTCCAGGGGATATGATGCCCTCTTTTAGCCTCTGCTGGCATTGCAATACATGGGTACACTTACATACATACATACATGTAGGCAATACATTCATGTACATCAGTTTTGGTTTTTGTTTTTTTTTAATATTTTATTATTTTTATTTTATGTGTACAAGTGTATTGCCTGCATGTATGTGAGTGCACCCGTGTTGTGCAGTGCCGGAGGTCAGAACAGGGCTTTGGATTCCCCTCAAACTGGAGTTAAGGATGGTTTGTAGCCACCATGTGGGTGCTGGGAATTGAACCTGGGTCCTCTATAAGAGCAGTCAGTGCTCTTAACCGCTGAGTCATCTCTCCAGCCCCGCACATCAGTTTTTAAAAAAATTTTTAAAAAGCTGGGCATGGTGGCACACGCCTTTAATCCCAGCACTCGGAGGCAGAGGCAGGCAGATCTCTGTGAGTTCAAGGCTGGCCTGGTGTACATAGTGAGTTCCAGGACAGCTGGGGCTACAGCGAGACCTTCTCTCAAAAAAGACCGAAAACAAGCAAACAAACAAACAAACAAACAAACAAAAAAAACAGTGTTAACTACAACTCTTCAAATTTACCTGGCCATGTCCTAAGTTCTCTGAAGCCTCCATAGGTCACCTTCAGTCAGCAATGGTTTATAGTGATTACTTGCTTTCTTGCTTTTGCTGGGGGAGAGTTCTGGGGACAGACTCCACAGCCTCTCTCCACCCCTGAGGCACAGTCCCACCATAATAGGTTTCTAATCATAGGTGGTGAACAAAAAAATAAACAATGAATACTACCCAGCAATCACTCAGAAAATAATGGCTTACCTTTTTCCTCCTCTCACAGTTGGGATCATCAATGTTATGAAAACTATTTTCATCTATTTCTCCTAACCATATGTGCTCACCAATCCCAACCAAGCAATTCGGATTTCCTTTGCAATTCCGTCTGTTAGGGGGGAAAAAAAAAGAAAATTATAATTTTAAAATGTGCCAAGGAAGGGAAGAAGGGGAAGGGGAAGGGGAAGGGGAAGGAGAGGGGAAGAGGAAGGGATGCTGGTGCTAACAGTTGGTGGTGGTTTTGTCAGAAGACAGATTCTCAATATGTAGCCCTGGCTGGCCTGAACTCACAGAAACCTGCCTGCCTCCACTCAATTTGAGTGTTCTTAAATGAGGTAAGAACAGTGAGATATGTAGTGTGGCAGGCCGATATGTAAAGTGTAGCAGGCTGGGGACAAGGCTCAGAGGTGGACAGAGCTTGCACAGCTTCCAGAAGACATTAGCTTCAACTCCCAACACCATAAAATAACACAAAACAATCTACAAGATTAGCAGAAACAGCAGCACAACAATCAGCTTGAAGCTGTGAACACAAGTGTGCATACAGTGCCAGTGGGAAACAGACCAGTAGAGCCTTACTTAGGGAAAGCTGCACTCTAAAAACTACCTAGGGCTACTTGACAAAAAAACAATTACATTAGCAGGCATGGTGGTACATGCTTTAATCTCAGTTCTCAGAAGACAGAGAAGCAGTAGATCTCTATGAATTCCAGGTCAGCAGGGGCTATTTTAAATAATGAGACCTTGTCTCAGGGAGGAAAAAAAAAATTGCATTAAGTTATTACATTACTTATTCACAAAATATTGAAAATAATCCAAATATTCGCCAGGTGTGGTAACACATGTCTGTAGTCCCAGCACTTGGGAGGCAGAGGCAGGCGGATCTCTGTGAGTTCAAGGCCAGCCTGGTCTACATAGTGAGTTCCAGATCAGCTGAGGCTACAGGGAGACCCTGCTTCAAAAAGACAAAAAAAAAAAAAAAAAAAAAAAGCAAAACTTTGGGTCTAAAGAGACCAGTACTGGCTGTTCTTATAGAGGTCTCAAGATTCAGTTTCCAGCCTCGTAACCATCTGTAACTCCAGTTTCAGGGAATCTGATGTCCTCTTTTGACCTCCAAAACTTTTATTTATTTTTTAGAATTTATTTATGGGGCTGGAGAGGTGGCTCAGCATTTAAGAGCACTGGCTATTCTTTCAGAGGACCTAGGTTCTATTACCAGCACCCACATGGCAGCTAACAACTGTCCAAAAGTCCAGTTGTGGGGGAATCCCATGCCTTTTTCTGACCCCCTTGGACACTGCAGGACACGGATGCACTTAACACACATGCAGGCAATACACTCACACACTTAAAAATAAATAATAGGCCAGAGAAGGGCGTCAAATGCCCTGAAACTGGAGCTATGCAGTTGTTAGTCATCATGTGGATACTGAAAACCAAACCCAGGTCCTCTGGAAGAAAAATCAGTGGTCTTATCCACTGAGCCGTATCTCCAGTCCATATATCTTTAAAAAAAATAAAAATAAAAATCTACGAGCCAGGTAGGGTGGCACACGCCTTTAATCCCCACACTTGGGAGGCAGAGGCAGGCGGATCTCTTTTGAGTGTAAGGTCAGCCTGGTCTACATAGTGACCAGGCTGCTGGGGCTACAAGGAGACCCCTGCCTCAAAAAGATACCCCCCCAAATCTATAGACTATTTTTGTGTTAAATTGGGGAAATCAGAAAATGAACATGAAGTTGCTCATTTGTGTAAAAGGAAGCACAAAACATAGCTGATGTGGTAGAGCACACCTTTAATCTCAGCAGGTGGATGGATCTTTAAATTCAAAACCATCCAGGTCTAGAGAGTGAGACCCTGTTTCAAAACAAAAAAAAACTAAGACACACAACAGATAAGCCAGAGTATAATGCAACTGGTCACCTACAGAACATAAATCCAAATATGGTTTTATATATATTTAAAAAAAAAAAGTGTGGGGGCTGGAGAGATGGCTCAGCAGTTAGTAACACTGAATGTTCTTGCAGAAGACCTGGGTTCAGATCCCAGCACCCACATGGCAGCTAACAACTGTCCGTAACTCCAGTTCTAGGGGATCCGACACCCTCTTCTGACCTCCTCGGGCATTGCACGACATGTGTGCACTTCCATACATGCAGGCAATACATACATATACATAAAAATAATAATTTTTTTTTGTCTTTTTGAGACAGGGTCTCCCTGTAGCCCCAGCTGTCCCGGAACTCACTATGTAGACCAGGCTGGCCTTGAACTCACAGAGATCCATCTGCCTCTGCCTCCCGAGTGCTGGGATTAAAGGCATCTGCCACCATGTCCGGCTAGTAAAATATTTTTAAAAACTGTGAAGCTTTTCAGAATATGCATGTTCCTATGTTGCTGAGTTGGGGGCTGTGTTTCTTACCACATAGAAACACAAATCAACAAGAACCCGATCAACCAAGAAAGTGAAACACATTTCAATTGGGTAAAATATCCACACTTGGGGGCTGGAATAAACCCAAGAAACTTTTACAGTCATTAATCAGGAACCTCATTAAGTTGTGTCCCCAAGATAAAGAACAACAACCACGCTCATTAACAAATCTGAAACAAACAAAGATTCTGATTTCTAAATATTCACCCCCAAGGCTCCTTAGAGGAATTATAAGATGCCATGCCCCTAAAGGACAGATATACTCAAAAAATGACAGGACATAGGGCTGGAAAGATGACTCAGCAGTTAACACTGGTTGTTCTTGCAGAAGACCCAGGTTCGAATCCCAGCACCCACATGGAAGCTAACAACTGTCTGTGACTCCAGTTCCAGGCGATCCAATAGCCTTTTCTGTCCTCAGGCATTGCACGACACAGGTGCACTTACCTACATGCAGGCAATACACTCATACACATAAAAATAATAAAATATTTAAAAAATAAAAATTTTTAAAATGACAGGACATGTTAAATGGACACAGAATCCCATGTGGGGGAAGGGTAAGTTATCAAAACTGGGGCACATGGCTACTACCTACACTGGAGAGCTAAAGTCCAAAGGACTGCCAAGATTGGAGGTCAGCCTAGGCTACAAAGCAAGACACTATCTGGAGAAAAAGGAAATGAGGGAGAGGGGGCACATAGGAGCTCATGATTATAATTCTAGCACTGAAGAGCCAAAGGCAGACGGAAGCTAGAAGTCAGCCTGGTCTACATAGTGAGCTCAAGTTCAGCCAGAGCCATACAGTGAGGCCCTGCCTCAATGACAAGAGAGTCTATGATTTCCTAGTGAGACAGAGGGACAGATGGCGAAAAATCTCTTCCTTAAGGCCAGCTATTGACACTTTGAAGCATCAACTGACAGAATTAGCGAATTTACATTTGCCGTATTTCAGAATAAAATAATTGGGCAAACTAAAGAAGAAATAATGCTCCATCTTTAAATATCTCAGCACAAGTATGTTAACTACAGAGTAAAAAGGAATTCTCAGAGATACTGAAACACACTTTAAGCAACAATCCCGGTTAATACAGCAAACTCCCTGCCAGCACATACCCACCTCATCCACATAACCTAATTCTCATGGCAAGTCCAATCAGAGAAATGTTCCACAAAGTGTCCTCTACTTCTCTAAAAGTCAATGTCATGAAACACAAATACTCGGTGGCTATTCCGGATTAAAGAAGAACTGTGAACAACTGTGAACTTGGATTCTCCTTTGCCATCAAGGACTTTATTAGGACACTACATGTATATTTATGAAGGTTACCCACTAAAGCCTTTTTTTTTGGTCTTTTTGAGACAGGGTCTCCCTGTAGCCCCAGCTGTCCTGGAACTATGTAGACCAGGCTGGTTTTGAACTCACAGATATCTGCCTGCCTCTGCCTCCCAAATGCTGCGACTAAAGGCATGCAATACCATGTCCGGCTATCCACTAAAGCTTTACTGACAGCAGAAGACTGAAAACATGGAGCGAGCAAGATGGCTCAAAAACTTCCAAGCCTGACAACCTGCAATGTAGACCAGGCTGGTCTGGATCTTGTGGTGATCTTCCTACCTCTGCCTCCTGAGTACTGAGATATTTGTATGCATAGAACTGTATGGGTAAGGGCACACAGGAACCACAGCATAAGTGTAGAGGTTAGAGAAGATTTTTCTGGAGTCACTCTATCATGTGAAGTCTATAAAAATCAAACTCAGGTCCCCAGGCTTCAAGACAAGTACCTATACCTGCTGAGACAGCTCAGTGGTCCTGTTCTCTCATATTTTATACTATGGAATGTACAATCTATTCACAAAGTAAGTAACTTCAAAGGTTCTATTTAAATGTACTGTCTTCCTGGCTTCAAAAAGAAGAGAATGAAAGCTGGGTATGGTACCTTTAATTCCAGCACTTGGGAGGCAGAGGCAAGGGGATCTCAGTGAGTTCCAGGCAGCTGGGGATACCCTATCCCAAAAAGAGAAAAAAAAAAAAAAAAAAAAAAAAAAACTGAAAATAAATTTGATCAATTTAAGAGCAGTCTTACCAGCTTTATAGCAAAGTCAGTTTAGGAAAATACTAACTAAAGAAATAATATGTAACTTAGACATAAACAGAAAACAAAATTATGGCCAGAGGCAGTGACTACAAGGCCTTAGGGAGACAGAAGCGCTTATCAATAATACTCAAGTGAAAATAAGTAGACACTTGTTAATTCTTTCAAATCTGCTTTTCAAAAGTGAAAATATCAAGTCTTGTTTGCTCCCTATCTCCTCTTCCACGGGGAGGTGGTGAGACTTGTTACATGATTTGGTTAGGCCAGACAGTCCTGAAGGCCAGACACAGGTGTTACTTTTTCAGAAAGCAGTTCTGGTGGCAGTGTTGGCTCTCTCAGTTTTTGCTGTTCCTGACAGTGAAATTATACAATGAACAAAAGGTAAACCAGACTCTCTTGTTGGACTCCATCCTCCACCACACCCTGCACAAATCATACCTAGTCTAAAGCTGGCTTCAAAGAGACACACATATAGTCCATGCCCTAAAATCACAGAAAGACTTTTTAAAAAGCTAAAGGGAGAGGCTGGGGGACAAACTTGTGTTATTTGGCCCTACAATTCTGACATTTTAAAATTTT